AATAATGAATGCACTTAAGAAGCAAGGGCTATTCCAGGTCAGACTGTTTCATTTTTAAATCTCTACCTGATTCTTGACCCTCAATAGGTTTGATTTGTTTTAAAATATGAAGTTTGATAAGCAGAACACTTAATCTTACACCGGATGTCATTATTGTAGAAGATTTGCAAGTCAAACTACGTTTATGTATTTGCTTATTTATTACATAGGCCTCTCTAGGAAAATATTAAAATCATAAAAACAATTAATTAAATACACATTAAAACTGTATAAACAATATACACATAAAATAGTACAAAACAGACAATGTAACGACAGCAACTATAAGACAACAAACAGGCACAACAGCAATTTATAAACAATATCTAAAATTGGCTAAGGAAATAAGATACACAGACTTAACTATTAAAATATCTAGAGAATAAAAAGGTTTTGACATTCAGTGGCATTCTATCTGGATAAGTGCTAATGCAGTATTAGTATTATTACAGTAATATTATTTATTTAATTTCTATACCACTCCACAGCTGAAACTCTCTAGGCAGCTTACACAATCCATAAAACCAAATGATAAAAAATACAATTAAATATAAGAAAATCAGAGAATATTGAAAAATTAAGAACAGGTAAACTCAAAGAACGACAAGAGTGAATCCAGAAATCCTGGCAATCCCCCTCAAGCCCCAGGGTAGCTGAGTAGGTCCTTAGCCTCAGAAAAAGGGCCATCTTAACCTGGCTTCAAAAATATGGCAGTTTTGGCACCAGCCAGAGCACAGTGGTGATGCTATTCCATAGATGGTGGCCACCACCAAGAAAGCCCTCTGCCTGGTTGCCACCTTCTGTACTTCCCTGAAGAGGTGGCACTTGGAAAGCACCAGAAGTGGTGTAGTGTCCAAGTAAATGATGGCTGGGAGAGGCACTCTGACAGGTATTGTGATCCTAAGCCATGATAGGGCTTTATAGGTTAATCAAGCACCTTGAATTGGGACTAGAAGCATATAGGCAGCCAGTGCAAGCAGGTGAGAACTGGTCTTATATGTTTGGGTATACTGATCACGGTTATTAATCTGCACCAGCTGTAGCGTCTATATCATCTTCAAGGGCAGCCCCACACAGAGTGCATTGCAGTAATATAATTTAGAGATTACCAGAATGTAGATTGCTGAAGCCAGGTTATACCTGCACCCAGGTAGAGGTGCTGCTGGGCCACCAGCTGAACCTGGTGCACCCCCAAGCTGCAAGCCAGCTCCCTAAGGGGGAGTGCCACCCCATCTAGAACACGTTGAACATCCCCCATCTGGTCAAAGGAACCACCCACCAACAGCGTCTCAGTCTTATCTGGATTGCGTTTCAGTCTGTTAGCCCTCACCCAGTACATTGTTGCAGCCAGACACCAGTTTAGCTGCTGATGATAGGGGTGAATGTTATCAGCATATTAATGGCAACGTACACCAAAGCCACAGATGACCTCAATCAGTGGTTTCATGTAGATATTGAATGACATGGGAGACAGAACAGAACCTCAAGGGACTCTGCAGGAGAATTCATAGGGCTGAACTATATTTGCCAAGCACCTTCTTGAGATGGTCCTCTAAACAGGAGTGGAACCACTGCAATGCAGTGCCCCCCACTCCACCAGAATTCCTATATACATAAGCATACTCATCATTATCTTTTGATAAAGGAGAGGTAGTAATTTAATAGAACGTAGGTATAGTTTCTTGTAAACAGACAATTGGATACATTATTTCTAAGTTTGGTACGTTAGTCTTGTATAGGTATATCTGTTGTTTGCATTCTTACAAATAACCTGTATGAGTAATAAGTGTGTGAAAAAATAGCAGATAAATTACTAATTAGTCACTAATTCCTTAAGAAGTTAGTGAAACAAAAGCTGTTTACTTTTGCTTCATCAAAATAGAACTCTGAACTTTCTAAAGCCTTTTTGTACATGTGAATTTGTATTTGCAAGCCTTTCCTGTTCTCCCAACTTGACAGTTGTTAAAATGATTTGGAGCTTAACCACACAGTCTGACTCATACATCAATCTGCCTCCTTAGCTTGCATTCACATGGGTACATGTATCATAATTATTATTGATATCAAAAGGTAGAATTATAAAGAATACAGAAGCAGATAACCTGTAACGTACTTTGTGACATTTTTTAAAATACCAAAGTGTATCGGTACAAAGGGCTTGTACTTGTACAAAGATATAAAGAAGGTGAATCATTCTTCTCATGCACTTAGATTTTACATCCATGAGCCTTATTTAGTTGTGGGCATATTTTTAAAGGTTTGATTCTGTCAGTAATTTTCTTCTCAGTTCTGCAAACTAAAGCTATGGTTCTGCACGTAATTAGGATGGCTAATTACTTCACATAATTGTGCGCAGGATAGTTATTAGGCAGATGCATTTGGATTTGTCCTTGCACATATTTTGCCTCTAGAGTTAAAAAGACAGTAAGCCAGCAATCCTCAAGCCATAAACTCAAGATTAGTTCTAGAGAAATCAATGAATGTTTCCACTGTGCTTTGAGAATTGTAGAAACATTTGCCTTATAAAAGGACACTAATCTGACTAAAGTACATAAATAAAAACTGTAAAGAGTTGGACAAGAAAATCTATATGAAGTTTCAAAATGCATTTTTATTTCTCTGCTACCAACCTGGACAGCTTTAAAAGATTAGCTGAATTCATGGAGGATAAGGCTATCAGTGATTACTGGTCAGGATGGCTATATATTAGCTGTTGTATTGAAAAGGATGTATTCCTCTGTATTCCAGTTGCTGGGGAATGTGAGTGGAGGGTGCTGTCGAACTCACGTCCTGTTTGTAAGCAACTGGCTGGCTACTATGTGAACAGAATATTGGACTAGATAGGCCTTTAGGCTGATCTGGCAGCCCTCTTCTTATATAAACTAAACTAATCCCTTGCTGCCTTAAATAGATTAACAGATGGCTTGAATAGAGCCCTGTTGATTATGGCTATTCTGGGGAAGAGAAGAACCAACTCACACTGAATTTACTGGACATCTCCAGAGGATCTTGATGATTATGTGTCAGGAATTGCCTTCTCATACAAACCTCTTTGAAAATGATGACCTCCAGGCTTGGATTCCCCTCCCCACAATTATAACCTTTCAACTAAATGTTGCTGTTTATAAAACAGCTTAATCAGGTGACAGTCCCATTCTTTGTGCAATGCTGTGCTTTCCACACTAGCCTTCCAAATGTGTGAACTAGAGTTCCCATTTCCAGCAACACCTGGTCAAGCGAACTAGGGATAATGAGAGTAAGAGTTCAGCAAATCTGGAAAGCACTATTTTGAGGAAGACTGCTCTAGACTGAAAATATATTTTATTACACTCTTCTATATTATGAACTGTCATACTGCTCCAGAAAATTTACTTCTACACTTAAAGTGAAGATTATGCTACCAACCTCTTACTCTTACTAGTACATTTATCCCAAAATCTTTTAGTAGTCTTTGTAATGCAGGATAACTGAAGTCTTTGTAACTCAGTTTATACTTCCCAGATTTTTTTCAGGAACTGAGTAAGAAAAAAATACATATGATAATCTTAACATAGTATGAATACTATCATTATACTCTATTATACTCTATAGACTTGCTCACTATGGTCGTTATGGTAGTTACAGTAAACTGTTACTCCAGTTGTGATATTGTGGCATTCTAATTCTGCTGGGGAACTGAACATCCATTCCAGTGCTCTGACTCTTTATATTCTGCAAATTATTTGATTTTCACTGTTTCCCTTCTTCAGGATGCTGGCTGGGGAATGGTGGGAATGTTAGGGCTTCTTCCTGCATAAATATATGTAGGATTGCACTCACAGAAATCCTTATTTCACTGTTACGCTATAGTCATGCTTTGAGTCTATTCTCTTACCAGGCTCCTGCCTTTTTCTGGATTTTCTCTCTTCTATTCAGTGCAGACTTAGCTACCACTTACTGTAATTTCTGTAGTCATCTTGACCCTTCTATTCTGCTTGCTTTGCTTACAGGGTATTGAGTTCTAGAGACTTTTCCATTTAAAACTCTAGTAAGGCAAAAATGAAAGATACACATATATGTATTTATCAACAAATGAATATCTTCAAATCCAATCAAAGGGTTTCAATCATAAAGAGTTTATTTAAAGCCCACACAGAACGCAACAGGACTCAACTTAGATTTTTTTGGTAGTCGAAGAAACGAGATGAAGAAATGCAGCATTTGAGGACCAAGATATTAATTTAGTGTCTACGTCTTTAGCAGGGGAAGGATGCTCCCCCCCCCCGCCCTTCAATTTTAAAGTAGCACCATGAGTCCAGTGCAGCTAGGGACCATAGCCTGGGTAAGGGGAGCTTTTAAGATCCAGCTGCGAGATGCCTACAGGTTAAAACTGAAAAGACGACATAGCTGCCAGGCACACGTTTAAGGCCATGCCTGCTTTGGGACACTGGGCAGAGGGTGCGGGCTACACCGCTATAGCGCCATTCGCAACGGCCGCGCAGGCACGGACGCCCAGCTCACTGTCGGTGCTGCGCTACCAGCGCGCCTGGCGTGCCCGTGACTTCCCGGGCAGCCCCCTGCGGCGCCGCGTCCCCCGAGAGGCGGGCCACGCGAACGGCGGCTGAGCCGAGCCGGCCCGGCCCGCCCCGCCCCGCGCGAAGCAGAGCGGCGCAACGCGCCCCGGCGGCGGCGGCGGGCGCGAGAGGCAGGGAGGAGCCCCGCCCGCGTGAACCCTGCCCTCCGCCCTCTGACCGCCCAAGGAAGGAGGCGGCGCCGCCGCTCGTTCGCTGCCACTCAGCAGCGCCGGCTCCGGCAACATGGGCAAGGCGGAAGTGGCGCCTCCGGCCCGGCGGCTCGGGAGTCTCTGCCCGGGGCAGGCGGCGGCGGCGGCGCTGCGCTGAGTGCCTCCTGTGCCGCGCTGCGCAGCCAGGCCCCGCGGGAGGAGGCCGCGCTGGGGTTTCTCCTCACGCCGCCGCGGGCGGGAAGCGGCGGCGTGGCCTCCCTGCCTCCCACCCGCCCGCCTCAGCCGCCTTAGTGAGGCGACCAGAGAACTGTAAGAGTGAAGGGAGGCCCGTTGGAGAAGGACGAGCGGGGGGAGGCTTACCTTAGCAAGGACTCCCTTCCTCACCTGGGGAAGGCAGGGATATTCTCGTCACTCCTTTTATTCCTCTTCCACCGCCGCAGCAGAGATGAAGTATACTGTATTCTGCGGCTGGTTGCCTCAGAAGCTGTGAGAAAACCCAGAGGGTGTTTAGGGGTCGGGGAGAGAGCTAAGTACTCTCGTGCCAGTGTCTCTGGTTAGCGAAAACCGAGAGTATCCCACGCCCTGTCCCAGCCTTCCCACCCCGGCTTTCAGAAAGGGCTAGGGGAGTCTCAGCTGAGGTTAAAATAAAACTTTCGTGCTCTAAACTTTTGGGTTTTACATTAGGTTTCACTACGTTACTGCCTTTTATGGTTCTGAATTTGTTTTGTGACCTTCCCAGAGTATGCTAGTGGACCTTACCGAACTGTAATTAAAAGTGTGTGGTATAGCAGGAAGTGAAAATCCATTATTTTGAACGAATAAAACTAGGTGAAGAAATCTGGCCCACTTGTTAGTCAGTTGGCCAAAGAACATTTGGAGAATATACATTAAAGCTTTGGCAAAGCTCCCTGTGCTAAGTGCCTCTGCGTCTATGATAGCTTTCTTTTCCTGCTGTTGCATGCTTGAACTCCCCTATATGATACTATGTTGGCAGAACAAGCCCAGAAGTGGTTCCCAACTCATGTGCAGGTCACGGTTCTTCAGGCCAAAGACCTGAAGCCGAAAGGCAAAAGTGGCACTAATGATACATACACTATTATACAATTGGGAAAGGAGAAATATTCCACCTCAGTGGCAGAAAAGACCCTGGATCCCATATGGAAAGAAGAGGCCTCATTTGAGTTGCCTGGATTGCTGATGGAAGGCAATTCGGAGAAATATATCCTCTATCTGATAGTCATGCACAGGTCTCTTGTTGGACTTGATAAGTTTCTGGGACAAGTGGCGATAAATTTGAATGATATCTTTGAGGACAAGCTAAGAAGGAAAACAAAGTAAGTGTTATTTTTAAATATATATTAAAATGAAATGTTAAAAAGTAACTTTTTGCCTTAATGCGTTGTCTTTTTCATCTCCATAAATTTTCTGAATTTCCTTCAAGCCTAAATGATAGGCTGAAAATTAATAGAATTATGAGTGTTCGTCATTTTGTTCATATCTAGGTGCTAATAGCCTTCTAGGATTTGAAAGTTTACAGATCCAGACACAGCTTATTGTTGATGTGTTGTCCTGCATAATATTTGCAAATGATATATAGAGGCCCATCAGTGAATTATGGAAATTTGCACTATCATGTCTTTGTACAATAAAGTTCATCTTTCTGGAAATGCAGCTTTCCAGAAACCATTTGCAGCTTTCCAGAAACCATTTGCAGCTTTCCAGAAACCATTTCTTAAAATAACTAACTAACCATGGACCTACTTTTCTTGTGTGTGTAGGCTCTTGGTGCCTTTGTATGTCCAGTCCCAATTTATGATCCATTGTTATTCCATAACACATGAATGTTTAAATAATTACATTAATCAGTGTGTGATCTCTTAAGAACTTCATTTCATTATTATTTACACCTCAAGCATGTGGTATTGAAATTCATGATAGCAGGCACAATATAGGTTTGTACGCTAACTACTTGTGCAGAAAACAGTTTCTGCTTATTGGGATGGCATGATATAATGGAATATTGGATCCCCCCGTCTCCAGTTAGATAGTGTTACATCCAAATTGCAAATTACAAGTAATGCCCAGAACTATTAATATTTCATTGTTTGCACTAATAGTTGTTATTATATATGAAAAAGTTATAAGATAAATATGTCAGGCATCTTAATTTGTATTTTAAACATAAAAAGAAATATGTATCTTTTAGGACTCACTGAAGTGGGTCTTAATTAATGGTATCTTGTTGCAGTTCTATGGTTCATGGAAACGTATCTCCAAAGCCTTAGGTTACATCAGCTGCCCCTACCCCTAGAAAAAAATGGAGAGAAGAGTTTGCCCTTGAGGGGGAGATTTCATCTTGCATTCCCTCCTTCCAACCTCTGTAGAAAGTTCCATATCACTTACCTTCCTAACATTGGAAATATATCATCAGAAGAGATTACAAAGAGGATCGGATCAAGCAAAGGGATCAGGAGTCCCTCATCCCCAATGAAAGAGGAGATTTATGCCAGTTTTGAGGCAGACATAAAATTTTTCTTTAGCATTGCTGCTAGTGATAGGCAAATGGGTTATCTTCCTGCCTTCTATCTCTGTTGGAGAATTAACCAGTCAACGACAATACTGCAATACAATACAGAGTTCTACATTTCAAAATGTTAACTAATTCTTGGCGAGATGCATGAAAATATTATTATACACTGAAATTTTATTTATTCAGAATTTTATTTTATTTTCTTCAGGAAAAGCACATACTGCTAAAGTGGAGTTCAAACCAAACAGCAGATTGGTTTGAATGATACAACTGAATGTAGGTTATTTAACTCCCCCAGTGAGCCATGGTGTGGGCCAGTCACTGTTTTGGATATGCAGCTCTCAATCAAGAGATTACTGTATCATATAAATACAACCTTAATTGGGGCTTGCATATTCAAATTGTGCCTAGCACAAATTGTAGCTGGTCATGGCTTACAGTGTGGTCCAATACGCCATGTGAACCAGGTCAGTCTGTTTTACCATGGTGGTATTCTAGAAGACAACCTTCCTGATCCTGGTGTCACCAGGCTGACTAGACTGATGGTCTACAGCTGAACTACAACCAATCTGGAGGGTATTAGTTTGTGGCAGAGCTGCTGGACAGTAGTTTCTGATTCTCAGATCACTGCACAAAATAGTTAATAGAAGAAAAAAATCTAGAATGAATCAAATATAATGCATAACAAGGGAAACTGGAAGGATGATAAAAACTAAACCATTGTCTTAGAAGTTATTTATTTTTTGTAATGTGTGATTACAGTATTTCTAGAACGATTTTATAAACATGTTGCAACAAACTTGACAAAGTATGTTTGAAAGGTCTCACTTTTGAATGTGCATTGGATCTTCTCTGTCTCTCTCATGTACACACATACATAATTTGAAAACAGGAGTGAGATCAAACCGTTGATAGAATATCAACATGCTATACTGAGTTTAATTTAGGCATCTCTGTGTTCAAGGAAATTATTATTAAGTGTCTTCAAAAAGTTTCTGTACTTTTAAAAACTTTATTTATTAAGAATTTCAAAAACAAAGTACATCACTTTTCTACATAGTCACCTTCCTTTGTGATGCACCTTTTTTCCCAGTGTTGTACCAACTTTTTAATGCCATCAGCAAAAAATATATAAAATATATTTATAAAATACAAAAGTGTGGAAACTTTTTGAAGACCCCTCATATATTACTTGTTTTTGGGCTTCTTCATTAATGGCTGAGGTGGCCAAAATAAAGTTTGAAATTCAAATGTAGATTATATTCTGAACAGAAATATTGACCTTTATTCCAGTATCTAAGGGAGATCACTCTATTTGGATGACCTCGGCTATCTAGGCTTAATAAGTGCTGATGGGAACAAGCCTTTTGCATACACATTGGACTTCCTTTCTCCTTCCTTCATGGCAAACTTGAATGCAGTGCAGAAGTCTCCAGTTAACCAAGGAGGAAAGCTTTCAGTTTGAGAGCAAGCCAGAATCCTAAACCAAGTTCAGACTGTGGTTTATGATCTTTACTTGTTCTGAAGCTGGTAATCACAGTTTTCTGGTTTGAATGAAATAAGACATTCTGTTTAATTAAAGAATTCCTAGTTTAATTTTGGCTTCTGCCAAAAGTCTGTGTGTTCATGATGTGCTTATCTTGTCTTACTAAGCTTGGTCAGTCAACTATATCAGTGAGTTTCAAATGTTATTCCAGGGATTCCTGAAGTTGCTTAGTAACCTTGATTGTATTCTTGGTTAATGGACTTGAGAGCCAGTTTATCATAGTGGTTAGTGATAGACTAGAACTCAGGAGATCCAAGTTGTAGTCACTGTTCAGCCATGGTGCTCCCTTTGTGGCATTGAGCTAGTCACTGACTGTTAGCCTAAACTACCTCACAGACTTGTGACATGAAGATAATGAGGAGGATCAGATAATCCACCTAAGTATCTTGGAGGAAAAAATGGGCAGGATTTAAATATTATATTATATTGACAAATTTTCTTGAAAGAGAACTTTACCCTTGCTACTGATCTCCTTCAGTAGGCAGCCACAGACAATATTGGATTAACATGGCCAGTGGTAAAACCGATCAGGACTCCCTTGTGTCTGGGATGAATAGTCAATCATGCTGGGAATGATCTGCAGAAAAAGGAGAAGAGGTTGACCCAGCACCCATTGGCTGGACACCATAAAGAAAGACACTGGGATGTCTTTGGTCTTTAAGGAAGCAGTGTGAGACAGAAAGTCATGGAGAGCAATGATTCATAGAGTGGCCAAGGGTTGGACATGACTGACTGTTTGACAATGACAACGCGATATTAAAAAGCATGGAAGATAGGATGGAACCCTGTGATGCACCATGACAAAACTGCCATCGGGCCCAGATACTATCCTCCAGTGACACCCTCTGGAATCAGACGGTCAGGTAGGAGCAGAACCAGGCAGAGCAATGCCTCCAACTCCTAACCTGGCCAGCCTAACTGGAAGGATACCATGGACTATGGTATCAAAAGTCACTGAGAGGTCCAGGAGAACTAACAGGGACAAACTTCTCCTGCCTTTTTTCCAGCAAAGGTCATCCCACAAGGTGACCTAGGCAGTCTCTGTCCCATAACAAGGCCTAAATCTGGACTGAAATGGATCAAGATGGTCTGTTCTCTCCAGGAGTTACTGAAACTGTCCAACTGCTTGAGCACTTACCTGAGAAGGGGAAGTTGTTTACAGGGCTATTCTTGTTAACATCTTCTGGGGCCAGGCTAGCCTTCTTCAGGAAAGGGCCAATCTCCATCCCTTTTAATGGAAGTGGGACCTTACCCTCCATCAGAGCAGCATTCACAATAGCCTGGACTCAGGAGTGCATTTCCTCCTTGGCTTTGCTGACCACAAATGATAGGCTGGACTTGTTCAAGCACCTTGTCCACATTATCAGGCCTCAATAATGGAACTTACAATAAAGTGGGACCAGATGGGGCTCTGGGCATGTCCATTATAGGAACTGCATCAAATGTGGAGTCCAATTTATGCTAAATCTGAGAGACTTTATCCTCGAAGTGCTGCACACATTTGTCATGGGGCTGCCAAGGGTTCAACCTGATTTTCTTTGGGGCCAATACATAAAAGAATTTTAAGGTTTTTTCCTTGGATCTCAACTTCTCTCTAGCACTGTGCCGTTCATAAGAGGAAAATAAAAGGAAAAAGTATATAATAATTACCTTTTCAGCAGCTATTTCATATTTTTTGTATTGGATTAGAGATTATCCAGTATCTGCTGTGCAGACATTTGCAACATATTAAGTGATCTGGATTGTGTTGAACTGTGTAACGTCACCAGGTATTTGTATATTGAATTTCACAGTTGCATAGGGGCCTGTATGGATAGGCTGTAGGTCCAAGCTTTTCAATGTGTATAACTTGTTCTTTTGTGACACATTGTACAGTTCTGGCTTGTGTGTGTTAAACTCTGCATCTGTGTAAGTGTGAAATCCAGAATTCTGGAATTGAGCATTGTGTTCTTGATCCTCTTAGATACATGGTCTAGGCTAGGAACATGCCTGTAGCATTGCTGCTGTTAGGTCTGGACTGGCATTGATATACTGCTGTGTGTGCAGTGTGGAAGAAATCTGTTTAATTTAACAAATAAAGTTTCCTACAGTATGGAAGTAGCTGTGGTATGTGCAGTTCACCTGTGTGCTTATACAGTTTTGTTATGCATGTTGTTACATGCTAAGTTTCAGTATACTAATGCAAGTAATAGATCTCTGATACATAGTGCCATTAAAATGGAAGCATATGAAAACATGCTAATTGTATGGTCATAACT